CCACACACCATTGACAGCTGTATACATTTTTTCAAACATCAATAGCCTTAAACGCCCATTCTTCAATATTGCTCCCCTAAGTTTTAATTCTCGGTAAAGTCTACTAGAGCTATAAGCTCTGAAACCAAATTTAAAGTAAAACTGTTTTGAATAGTAAAAATTATAATAAAATATTTTTGTAATAAATTGTATACTTGAAAACTCCAATAAATGATGTAAAATGTCTTGTATTACCAGGTATCAAATTTGTGAAAACAAATTCGTACCTCAATCCATTGTATTTAGCTTGGATATAAATTGCTTCTGTTATTCCTTTTAATCTCTAAAACATAAATATTTTTGATTTTTTGCACACCAACAAGTGTTTAAACACTTACCGAGTTGACAATCCTTGTAGAAATATCCTGTATACAATTGTAACCAATAGCTATATAGAATATACATTGTGCRTACCAAATAATATTAAAATACTAAATTACATATTTATGAGCATGATCAATTTTATAGAAGGTATTATAGATTTTTTCTCACATAAGCTTATTCTTGCTAAAGTCATTGAATGCCAGATTGCTCTCAAATTTGTAATAACAAGTACACCTTTATCACCACTATTTCCTTTTGTATCTTCAATAAATTCTAGACGATCTATTATTTTTTCACCATTTCTCATTTTCAGCGCTTTGCTTGAACAAAAAATATAATTTTAAGTAAAACTTCTAAATATTCAAAACAATAAAACATTTTTAAGCAAATAATTTTATTAAGTTACAATATGAAATAGTATTTTTGTGTGATTGATCATCCAAGAACTTAGAAATCATTAAATTTCACAAATAATATAATATAGGTATCTATAATAGATATACCCTGTTATAGTGTTATAAACTTTATTTATGAATGATTTTGAGAAAAATTACTTAAACTTTATGCTTTAACTTATCCAACTACTATWCTAAGTAGTACAACTGAATAATAATTACCTACCTAATACTTAAATCGAATTGGATTTCTTGATCTTCCCAAGTCTCCAATAAATCCATGGTGTTAGGAATAAAATGTGCGTGTGGCCTAATTAATAACATTTAATTATTTAGATTGTTTATTTTAAACGTTACCTAATATTATYTAAAGAGGGTCTTCAATCTAATACTTTGCACCATAAAAAATTTAGTTTCACGCTAGATAGTAAGAGTTAACCCTTTGTTTATAGCTAGACGCTAGTCGAACACCAATAAGCTAAGCTATATTATACAATTATGCGATCATAATGAAATAATATCATACTTGTAACGTGTACGTTCCTGCAGGTTGCTACGCAACGATTCTTGAAGAATTTGTCAAACAAATAACAATTATTATTAAGGGGATCCAATATCATTATTTTCTATCTTGATACGCGCGAYTACCTATAATTTTAGTCGCATTCTTGTCAAACGTACTGATGAGTGATTGGATTAGAGAAGTGATGAGAATTCTGAAAACATATTTGAATTTTTCCTCTGCTTGAGATCGACTTCCCCACATTTTTGATTTAACTTCTCCAAAAATTGAAATTTAACAATATTATAACGTTTTTAGGAATTAGGGAATGATCAGCCACAACTACTCTTGAGTGTGTAAGTGTGTTAGACAAAGAAAGAAAATAATATGGTAATCGAATCCTATTAAAATCGATTCCATAATACGAACACATATTAATAAGGATCCTATATATTCTATATATATAGTGTTTAACTGCTCAACTGCTGTTCCATTTTCCGAATGTGTCTTGGAAATATTGGTGAAAAACCCTGTTGGCGAGATCTCTGTTTTATAAATTATAGTCGAACACAACTCGATCTCGGATTTAATAAATAAAAGCGTATCATGTATATATATTAAGTGCTGAATTATGACGTAACTCACTTGTGACAGTGGGGCGCGGGGTGATGACAGGAAAGCAGGGGAAATGTTTTGAGTGTTCTGTGTTCAAATAATGAAACATGAGAAAGGGAATCTAGTTGATACTTTAAAGAGGTTAAATGGAAAAATTCTAGACGTTTTTAAAATCGGCGGGAACAACAAAAAATTAAAGGAAAAACAGGCATTTCTACGCAAAACTTTAAACTAGTTTCCGAACTTAAATCGCTTAGGTTTTTTGTTATAGCTTAAGAAACTAATAACCTCAGATACTTTTCACCAGATCCAGATGTTATTATTACTATTTAACACTTTTTGAGCTATTTATAAGAAAATTTCGATTTTTATTGTTTTTGTATAATAAATGTTCACTTAATCAAAATACTTGAAAATTTAATACAAAGTTCCTCATAACTTTTTGTAAATGGAAATCTAAAAAAAAATTGAGGTAAAATCTATAATTATTTTTTTATGAGGGTCTAAAGTTAAAAAGTTTGACAAAATTCTTCAAAATCACTAAAATATTTGTAAATTATTTTGATTCAAAATTCATAAAATGTTTCTATTTATAGGTATCTAAGATTTTAAAATTGAATGTAAGATTCCTAATAGGTTTTTACTAYCTCAAACAAAACAAAAAACTGCTTGAAAGTTAAACTATTTTTATTATATTTTTATAAATATTTGAACTTTAATTCTTTTCGACATAGGATTTTTAACCGTACCTAAATGCTAAAT